GTCAATTCAAATACTTGCTGGTAGAATAATCACTGACAGTGATACCAGTGTAGTCATGAAATTATTCTTAATATAGGAAAATTAGATGATGAGAAAAAAATACTCTGCAGTTTGGGGATAAATATTAAGTACTATATGGAGGCAAGAGTAATAGTCAATTGCCAAAATGCAGAAAGGGAAGCAGTGAAAAAAAAGCTACAAAAACAACAAAACTCTATAAATCATATTTGAGAGATGTATGAAAAACAGTACTTTTGAAAAGACTTGGTTCCTTCAGTGTATTTGGATATAGCTAAGTATTCTATCTAGAGCTGGGGGAGCTCTTTTAATAATATTTGGACCAGTTGGACAATATTCAGAGCCGAACAGTGCAGGGGTAAGTAAAACATGGCCTGTCATGCAAGAAAGAGCTTAAGAGCTGGAACTGATCAAGACAAAAAGACGGAGGGAGGTACAACCATACTGCTACCTGTAAAAGGATGTTGCTGATAGTAAGTGTAGGATTTAACGTACCTGTGGAGATGCCCTTTGACACTATCAAATCTCTGCCTTTTCAAGCACTTTCAGAATAGGTTGGAGAAACGTCTGCCCAGAAGGGCGCAGAGCTGCAGCCGTCCCTGTTGTGGCCTCTAGGTAACTCCGAACCACCACAGAGGTGGCGGCCTCACTGCGCCTGGGAGTGAGGGCCCGTTCCTGAATATTCCTGGCTGCAGTACTGCGCTTTCCAGAGCAGCAGTGTTCTCGTGCTCACATATACAATAACGCCCGTTGCGTTGCGAGAGCCTCTGTGCCCCGTCGCTGGTGCTGAGCGAGCAGGGAGCAGGGCTGCTGCATGGGCAGCCATCTGAACGGGCTCCTGTCGATGGGTGCCTTCTCTGTCTGGACAAATTCAAACACTGGATCATTCTGGTATATCTGGAATTAGTCTTCAACAAATACTTCCAGAAATTAGGTATATTTTAATATATATATTGCATAAAAAGTGTGGAGAGGGAGGAGCAAAAATGTTAATCAGGGTTTCTTTGTTCACTTTAATTCTGTGTTGTGCACTTCTGCTTTCTTACAAGTGCCTAAGTGGACTTTGTGGGTAAATATCACACAGTGTGGATCTGTGCTCTTGACCTAAGAGACTTTGCCTTTTTTCACACTGCAGTTAATCATTCCTGCGGTGAGGTCAGCTCTGCTGCTGTGGTAACACTAGTGTGCTCAGTGCAGTAGAGTTTCCTGGCCTGCAGACTGGGTGCTTCCCTCTCACAAATACAGGTGTCCTGGGAAAAGTTACCGCTCCTAAACATTCGCTTCTGAACTTGGAGTCTCCATTTCTCCTAGAATCTATCAATGGAGCTGCTCGTGAGAACACTCCTAAACCCATTTAGTTAAAATGATCTAAATGCATTTAAACACTAGGTATTTGCTGATCCAGCTGGTTTTGACAAAAGCCTTTGAGAGTGTGTTTATGTAAGCAGGCAGATTTAGGAAATAATTTCTGGCAAAGGAGCACTGACGAGCAGCCAAGAGTGGAGCTGGTGTACGTGCCCTTTTTCCACTTGTTTAAATGGTTGTGTGTCTAGGTGCTTCCTCAGTGAAGCTGCTGTGGTGCTGGCAGTCCCAGCTTCTACTGATACAAATTAGTCCTGTGCACAGGGAGGAAATAAGTGATACTTCTTATGGCTCCTTAGCAGTGCATGTACTATTACAGCTCTACATTCAAAAAAAATCAAAACCAAATTCAAATCAAAGGATTTAAAAATATGTAGTCACTAAAACAGCTTATAAGAAAAGATTAAGAAGAGCTAAATAATTTAGAATTAGAGTTTAGAATACTTGCAAAATTCAATTGGCAGTTTGTGAACATTTACTACATGTTAAATTCATGTCAGATTTGAAAGGTTTCATTTTAGTTTTGGACATGTATTTCTGTTGTTGTTGGGGGGGAAGATATTCTGATTTCCAAAATTAACTAACTAACTAACTAACTAAATTGTTCTAGTGCAGGAAAAGGAATTCCTTTTCCTGTCCTGAGTGACTCCTCTAGGATGTGTAAATTGATTAAAATTTAGAAACTGTGATTTGATAGAACACTGGCCTATGTTGTTTTGTGTCAGTACTTTGTAAAATATGGTTCGCATTTGGATAATGGTATATAAAACACAAAATGCTAGCTATACTTTCTTGTTCATTACCAACTTTATAATTAATTTTTTGTATGCATTTAAATACTAAGCATAAAGAATGACTAATTAGTTTTCAGTTTCCAACAATTAATGGCTTAAAAATATTTTCTCTGTGCTTAGGTGTGTTCTTACCTAAGTTTTATTGGGTTGGAAAGAAGCAGAAAAGATGGAAAATGCAAGCTTGATTCTCATGTCAGAATGTACATTCTGGAAGTAACATGCAGTTCATGAGGCCTAAGATACAGTATTTGAATTTCCAGGGAAGGAAGGTTTGGGGATATTCGAGTATTGGGAAGCCGAATGGTCTAATTCAGTCTGGGGGTAAAGAAATAGGCCCTTTAACCCTTTCGTTAAGGTGAAGGCCAGCCTTTTAGTATGGAATTAAAAGCTTAGTGTTGTAAAGTCAAAGTTACTTGGAACAAGGTCTTGTCTTTTGCTTCTTAGGAAACAATACAGAAATAATTTTATATCATAAGTCATATTTAGCAACTGACTGAACCACATCTTATGTTGAATGGTCTGCTTTGGTCTTGTGCATGTTGGAGATGGGAGGTGTCAAAGTAGCACCCTCAGGCTCATAGCTGACCATGAAAATTAGCGCAAAACTTGTGGCAGGGTTCTCCTTTTATACCTGTGACCTAAACAGCTGCATCAGTGTTTTAACAGCGATGGAAGGAAAGGGTAATAAAGTGAAAAATGAGTTACAGATTATAGTGAAAGTTGGGGAAAAATACTCAAGTTTAGCAATCTCCTTTACATGCTGTACTCCTGTAAGGAGGATCAGAGATTGGGCACACAACCTCAAGCTACTCCATGCAAACAAGGGAGCAGATTCTCCGTTTTTGGCAAAGACAACAGCTTTCTTGCTGTTTGGAGCATGCTGCTAACCAAACCAGTCTCTGGTTGCAGTACTAGCTTTGGCAGGAGAAGAAATGGTTGGATACTCTCTGAAGATTGAAGGCAATGAGGTAAGATATGGCTTAAAATGAGAGTTGAAAGGGAGGAATCCGAACTGAGTTGATTTAGATTGTAATAGTGTTTGTTAATAATATAAAGTGTTTCTTTCAAGGCTATGAAAAGGAAAGAAATGCATGTGTATTATCTTGTCCCTTTTACACATTGCTGATAAAATGTATTACTTTATCGTGAAGAAATATTAAATTACTAAAGATAGGAGGATTCATGTTATATAAACTCTTCTCTGTTTCCATGTTTTTTCCCTTTTGTAGGATAATCAGAAAGTTTTAGACTGTGTTCAAAAAGTGCAGATCTTATTCTGAAAATAAAACTATGTTACTTTTTTTTTTTGAATATAAGTGGGCATAACTGTTTGAATAACAGAGAATTTCTCTCATGTTTCTATGGTGTGTATACAAAATGCTGCTAATTATACAAGGCTTGATGGTCTGCTCGCTGGATCTGCTCTGGAGAGAAAATTTTGAAGAACTATTTCATGCAAAACACTCAAGCCATTTTTCTAACAAAAGCTGAGTTTGTGTGAAACTTCACGCTCTGAATGGATTATTGACTGAATTTATATCATTTTATGGGTTGGCCAGAACTGCTTTAAAATCACCAAGCTTTCCATTACAGGGCTTTTCCTAGGTTTTCCACTATGGAAATGTATCCTTTATATGCATATAGAAATGAGGGTTAATGGTGCTTTTTCTCCTATAATTCTTGGGGCGGAATTTGTGGGAAGAGATCTGTTTCCTCAGATGAATTATCAGCAGTGTGCATGCTTAAAATCAGATGTCTGTGTTCGGGTTTCTTAAATGGCAAAAGAGTTAAACTGAAAAATAGATTGGCATCAGATGTTAGCCACAAGATACATGGTTTACAACACTGAGAATGTTTGTCTTTGAGGCAAATAAGTTTTCAATATGATTCTTAAATCTTAAGTTACATTTTTCTACTTCCTTCTAGGCAGGCTGTCTTTATTTCTTACATGTACTTTTCATTGGCTTAATTCTTTTCTCCCCTAAGAAAAACGTTCAAGTTTGCCCAAGAAAGCTATACTTTCAGATTCAGAATAATGGGTCCTCCTAAGGGCTGTACTGGTGAAAAAGAACTTTTTCTTCAATTCTCCTTCTTTCTCTTTCAAAAAGAATTTATTTTTCAAAATTCGGTCACTTTGGGAGAGTTTTTGTTGTTAACTTGGATTGGTAAAGCTTCCAAGATTGCTGAAAAGAATTTGAATTTAAACTTTTTCCCCCAAAAAATGAATGTATATATTTTAAAGTTAAAAGGAATAGACTCTTTTTATACTTATAGATGTTTTAAAAATAATTTTGTGGTAATATTTTACAGGGCCATACTGATTAAAAACAATTGGACTCGTCCTTAAACTGAACTAGTTTCTATAAACAGTATTTTCCATAATTCTGTGCTCGAGAATCCAAGGATTAAGCCCCTCTCCCTCTCCCTCTCCCTCTCCCTCTCCTTCTCCCTCTCCCTCTCCTCTCCCTCTCCTCACTTTGGAATGCGATTCAGTAATCTGAACCTAGAAATTCAGAGGATTAACAAATGAAGATATGAATAGTTCTGAGTTTGTTTTTATTGCTAGGGAAACAAGCTCAGAAATATCTTTTTCCGCATAGCAAAGTTGTACAGATAATTAAAATCCAATTTGTTGAACAGAATCACTTCTGTATTTATACAAGGTATTACTGTCTGTCCCAACACACAAACAACACAAGATTGACCATCAAAGTGTTTTTCATGTTTGAAAATTTGACATAAGATTTAATATATGATGCAGACTGTGTCAAGATTTTAGTTGTAACATTCTAATTTTGCGTATATAATTGTTTATGATTTTGTTGCATTTACTAGGTTTGCTGGGATGGGTAATCTTCTTAAGGTCCTTACCAGGGAAATTGAAAACTATCCACATTTTTTCCTGGATTTTGAAAGTAAGTTCAAAGAATTACAAGACAATGAGAGAATCTTTCCCCTGACTTTACAACGAACTGAGGAAAACTTTTAAAATCTGGTTGCTTGCAGTATAAATTTTCCAGCAGAATGAGTCTGTCCAAGTCCTTGCCTCTAAAATCGTTTGTTCACTCAGGACTCCTTTTCTCTTCCTTTTCTATTTTTCAGGAACCAAATGGGAAATCTTTTAAAAGTTCTCACTTGCACAGAGCTTGATCAGGGGCCAAATTTTTTCCTTGACTTTGAAAGTGAGCAAAGCTTCTTGCCTGGCTTGCCTTCTTTGCTTATTATTTCCTAATAAACTGCATGCGCTTACGCATCATAAAGCAATTCCAAAGAGATTTGCAAACAAATCAAATTACACTTCAGTTGAATATTGGTTTGTGATATTTATAAAACTATGTAAAATGATTCAAATCACTTCTGAGCAGAGACGACAGAATGATAGTCATATGAGCAAAGTCTTGGATTATTTTCAAGGCATCATTAAATTTATATATTAATGAACTTGACCTCAACTTCCTTTAATAAATCAAGGATAAATTTTTTCTTATATTGTTTCATTGAATGAAAATGTATATTGGAAATAAAAATAAAAATCTTAAATATAAACAGGGTAGGTGGCCCTCTCACGCCTCGTTCAGTAGTGATTTAACGGGGTTATTACAGTTTCTAAAACGTAATGAAGTGGTCAAAGTGTATGTGCTTGATTGCATCTCTCTTAATTGCATGTTTATCAGATTGCAAAACAGTACTTTGCATACTAATTCCCTGATCACATCTGTAAGTATATCAGAGCTATTTTACTTTTGCTGGTTAGTTTTCCTGCATGTACTTCTGGATATTTTCTTGAAAACTGGTTATCAAATTCTTAAATGTGGTTTTAATCCTATCTCACTACTTACGTGTGATGCTTGTATTTTAAATGTTAACAGTTTATGATGTTTTATTTTTAATACTTTCATTCTAAAAAAAAAAGACCTGTCTTCGAAAGAATACAATTAAAAACATTTTCATTTTGAAGCATGGTTTTGAAGAAAATTTCAGTTGATCAGATATACAAATTTTATCACCATAAAATAGTTTTCTTTAATAGTTCATTTCTGCAAAAAAAAATACTGAGACACTGTATACACTACAAAGCTGTGGTTCAAGGATTGATTTAGACAAATGTTTGAATGAAATTGTTCAATTGTGATTTCTTGGATGAGGGTTAGAGTTTATGAATATAATTTTGCACATACATTAACTCTCTCCTGAACTTACTTAACGTGTTGAGAAGAATCAGTTTTAAATAATGGATAAAAGTTAATGGGTTGGTTTAGCTTTAGCAAAGGGTCCTACAAGCCTTGTATCCTCTTTTTGCTCCTTATAATTTGAGAATTTTATTGTGAAACCTGGTGGTTAAACAGTAGTCTAAACCATCGTGCAATTTTTTCTGTCAGCCTTTAGGATACGTTAATGGAGCTCTCTGTCTTGCCAAGTTATCACAAAGGTTTTCAGCTGCCTTGAGCTCCCAGCCTCGATGCGTCCCGTCATGTTGCGCGCTGTAGGAATGTGCCGCTAACCAGGAGCGCAGCCTTGGCAGGAAGCAGGTGCTGCGGCGGTGGGAGGCCTCGCGGGAGCGGACGTAGCCGCGAGCAGGGAAAACACCGGTTTTACTGCCTTGGCGGTGGAGGCTGGCTTTGTCCAACAGCACGTTTGCTAGCACGAAGGAAAGCAGGGACGTGCTGAGGACGTCCCCTCGCGAGGAAGCGCTAGGCCAGGAGCGTGCGTGCGCTCCTGGCTTGCTGCCTGGAGAGGAGCCCAACTTCCTCCAAACGTGAGCATGTTTCACACTCCTGAGTGAACGCTTCGAATGTGGGCTTGGATCTCCGTTATTTAGCCCTTGTGAGGGGTACGTGGCGTGAATAGGAATCTGTTTACAAGCCCATTGGCCTGTTTGGTGGCCTTTTGTGTGGCTAGTTTTCCATTTCAGTTCAGAGTGTTCAGTTCAGTTCTGAGTCAGCAGTGTGCCCTCATGGCCAAGAAGGCCAATGGGCTCCTGTCTGCATCAGGAGGAGCTTTGCTAGCAGGTCAAGGGAGAGGATCCTGCCTCTCTACTCATCTCTGGTGAGGTCGCACCTGGAGTATTGGGTGCAGCTCTGGGCTCCCCAGTACAAGAAGGACATTGAGCTTCTAGAGAGGGTCCAGTGGAGAGGCACAAAGATGATTAAGGGACTGCAGCATCTGTCTTATGAGGAAAGACTGAGCGAGCTGGGCGTGTTTAGCCTAGAGAAGAGAAGGCTGAGAGGAGATTTGATCAACATGTGGGTGATCGTAGGGAGGATGGGGCCAGGCTCTTCTCCATGGTGGCTGGTGACAGGATAAAGGGTAGTGGGTACAAGTTGAAACACAGGAAGTTCCATCTCCATGTGAGGAAGAACTTCTTTCCTGTGAGGGTGACAGAGCCCTGGAACAGGCTGCCCAGAGAGGTTGTGGAGTCTCCTTCTCTGGAGATCTTCCAAACCCACATGGATGCCACCCTGTGCCATGTGCTCTAGCGTTGGGCTAGATGATCTCTAGAGGTCCCTTCCAACCTCAACCATTCTCTGATTCTGTGAGTGTGAAAGTGGTCGCTAGTGTTGACCATTCAGAGGATGTGTTAAAAATCCTTCAGCCTTGGAGGTGTGAGGTGGAGCTGCTGAAGACAAAACCACGGTAGATTTGGTCTACAATGTTAGTGGTCTGAAGTTGGGGATTTTTTTTTTTTTTGATACTCCATTAAGCAACACAGCTCTAGGACTGAAAAACCAGGGAGCAGACCGGAAACACCTCACTTAGCACATAACTGCATGTTGAAATCCCTGTGAATAGAGTAGACAGATACTGTCTGGGCTGGATGGGGCACAAGTTAATTTTGCACATCACTGCTGTGTTGCTCATCTTGCTGCTCCATACCCATCTTCTCTCCCACAAATTGATTTTAATCTTTTTGTAACTCTTTCACACAAAAATGACTGTTTGCACAATAGTTAATGATAGTAATATGGATTTAAAAAATGAGTACATTTATACTTTGTGTACATAATTATTTTGGATGCTTTTTAGATTTGGGGAATTGCTGTGTTATTTATGTAGACACTGACTGTCACTGAAAACTTCAAATTTAACATTTTGTTAATAATTACATACTATAGAATATGTATTTATTCATGAATATTTGTTAATTCAGCCGTTTTAAAATATAATCACTTCAGGTAAAGATTCCAATCACTCAGAAAGTCAGATGTTTAGCATGCTGCTCCTATTTTTTTTTCTGTATTTCTATGTATTATTGTCTATCTGATGCCAGCAGTAATAAGTATTATTTGAATCAATATTTGAATAAGTGTCGTTTGAATCTAGTACAGTTACCAAGGTTTCCTTGTAAAACAAAACAAAAAATTGAAAAGAATCCTTTCAGGAGCTTTGGTTCAACACTAAGTAAAGCTGAATGACTTGGTGTCTCATTTAATGTTAAATAAGATTGTTAGCTTCATAGTAGAGAAGAGGGAGAGAGCTTGGATGCTTTTGTGGTGGTTTTTGTGTTAAAAAGAAAATTTACTCAAGTGATGAAGACTAGAGTTACTTCAATAGCTCTGTAATTCTTCAGTGACAACTCCTTAGTATAATGAGTTAGTGATATTTCAGGTTAGGAAAATAGGGACATTCTGGTGTAGGCCTCCATGCCTACCTTCCCGACCCCAGCGGACACACACACACTTTTTATTTTAATACGTAGAACATGGCAGTTGCTGGTGATTTTATTGCCCTTCCCTCTCTCCCCTCAAGTGACTTACTCTGTCTGCAGACACAGATAGCAGTTTCGGTTTTGCTTTCTTCAAAAAGTGCCTTCCAGTCGTGGTGCGTTTTGGATGTTGCAAATAACTTAGAAAATGGTTTTGAGCTGGTGAATTTGAAAGAAGGCAGAGATAAGATTACTGGTGATGCAAATTTTTGCTTACCCCACTATATTTCCTTTTTTAATCCTCCTTAATTATATCACTGGGATGTGCCTGTAGATGGAACTAGTTTATGCTTTTCCTTCACAAAAGGCAAAATATGCATACATGTGTACTTATTTCATTATATACATATATGCATCTATACACATGCGCATACACACATGCAAACAAAATCTCTTATATCCAGATTGATAAGGAAAGGTTACATAGCTATTTTGAGGCGAGCAAAAAATCCCTTTGTTTTGTTGCTAAAGCCTTTTGGCAAATGGGATTTTGACTGTATATATGTTGGGCTCAGACTCAGTGTAGGAATATCATATACTTCATTCAGTTTCAAATATACTGCATAAATAGATTTAGCTGTAAGACTCTTTAAATATTTGCTAATCTTCCATCTATCTTCCAAATAGATCCATGTGATGGATCTTAGATGAGAAGCTTAAAGGATGGATTAGTTTGATTATATAAATGTAATAATTTTTTCTGCCCACCAAGACTTACTCTAGCTGTGCAACACCTATCTTAACATGTTGATCTGAGAAGAATATTATGCCTCTTTGCATCTCTGGTTGAGACTGTGTAAAATATCTAAAATAAATAGGCAAAACGATAGTTTCAGCAACATAACTGTTGCCAGGATCTTTCTTGACTGTATTGCAGTACTCATGTGAGGATCTGAGGAGGGCTTCTGCTCAGCATCACTGATTCATATAGGACATTATGCAGGAAGCATTCTGGAGTATGTCCCCTTTTTAAGTGAAAGGTTTTTAAGATTTTGTGTTTAATGTATTTCATTATTTGCACCAGGATATGGCTTTTTATTTACTTTTTTTTTTTTTTTTCATTTAACAGTAGTCTCAAATCTCAAACTCTGTCAGCACTACTTCTGAAATGATTAGAGTTGTTGAATAGTCCTGCCTTGTTACTTGGTGCTGTTTTTAATTTGGAGTTTATTGTAGCTGGCGGGGGAGTGGGGGGAAGCAAGACCAGTCTTC